TTTATCGTATCACCTCACTCTCACCATTCGGAATGGAGAGAGATAGCATAGTGGCTACTAGCTAGCAGCCGGTGGGGGTCGGCATGGGCCTAAGGGGCGCCCATGGGCCTAATTGGTTAGCTTAAAGCGGAATTCTTGCCGATTTTCACTTTCTAAAGGTAGCGCAGCCTCCGCAATCTCCTTCCGGATCGTCTGACACATTTGAAAGGTCATAGCCTTATTTTATCGCGGAAAGTGCCTTTAAAGCGCTCAGTGAGAGATGAGCGTCGATAAAAGTGGCCCGCTCCCAATGTTCGCCACTTTCAATTGCTTCGTTTGTGTGGTGGTGGTCGGGGGTGATGCTGTTCTCAGCTATTGCCGTCTCCCCTCCGAGTACCCAACAATCTGTAGTAGTTCGCACAAAGAGTCGATTCGGCCCTAGATCATATAGAGTCTATAGAAAACAGGACAATTCGGGATGTCCAGCTTGAATATACTAATGAACTTTCCGTGTTACGACCTGTATTTCCAAATCACTTTTTGCATATACTCTAGTTCGCTGCTGATGAAGGGCGTGTCCAGCATTAGTGTGCCACGGTGCCAAACCCGTTATCTGCCAGTTGTTGAAAAGGGTATGCTACAACAATTGGTAGAAAACGAGTAATACGAATAATACGATATGGGCTTGTCACTTACTCGCTTCAACATCTGGTGAGGACGGGTTTGCCACCCCGCCACATCCGTCCCGTCTGACGCGACCGTCGTCCGCAGCGAACTAGACCCACCGGCAAACTATGCTCCGCCCCTCGAATCACGCTCACTTTTGCGCCTTTCTGTGGAATTTTGATCCTTTTTCAAAATTTCTACATTTTTGGATTGCCTTCGCCTCTGGCCACGATGGGAAACTCCGCCCACTTCACGGAAGCCCCGCCCACTTTTGAAAGTGATGCGGATCGGCAAATAACTCCCAACTGGTATATTAGGGTCTCGCTCATCACTCGGAACTAAAAACCAGACAAAGTTTGTTCCGAGTGACGTGGGAGACCCTACCTGTCAGTCATGGGGATCTAACATCTATTCTACCTGCCCGTATTTGCCTATTCAAACTAGTACTCAGAAATAGTAATGCCAGTTCAGAGACAAAGAAGTGCAGATTAATAGTATACCTCCTTACATAGAGTTTTGAGAGAATCAGCGGAGGAGACAAGATTTCACCTATCACTTCGATCTAGGAAGTCGACACCTAGTCAGTGGCGCGGTGGAGCACTCAATTTTTTTGCGGTACTTTCCGCGGTATTCAAATTTCTTGAATCTGGAGTAAGAGAGTCTGAGGACAGCATCAGGCTCTCATCACTGGGACCATCCACAGTCAGTTCGTGCATTCAACGGAAATGATGTTAGATGTGCACGCATAATGTTTGTGATTGTCCAGAAAAGAGAATTTTTCGTTAGTAGTGTCGTTACCTGTTTACAGCGGTAGGCCTCATGATGCAGCTACAAATCGTTGATGTTCAACAATTTATTAAACAAGAGTCAAACATTTCAAAAAACTACGAGCAAGTAATTCAAAGCGGTTAACATGTAAGATGAAGTAGTGTACTTGGTCAATTGGCCTATTTCGATGAGTTTACGCTGCATCTTCCAAACAACTAACAGCGCTAACAAAACTTGAAACTGACGAGGAATCCATCGTAGATGGTTGTAACCTGAAAAGGCTGTGCTACAGTCAGTATTCAGACCAGTGCTCTCAGTATAAGCCCTTTTGGCATGGGGGTGGCGGGATTCATTTTCAGACCCTCGGTCCGCAGCGGTGTGTCATTTTTCCGGCTGTTTGGAGAACCCATTTTGCTAACCTTTTCTGCTGTTTGTTTGTTTGCGGAAGAACGTGTGGTTGAAGTGTTGGCGGGTCTACATTCCATAATTGTGGTAATTCAAAGACTTATTGGGCTAAGTCGCCTAGCGGTGTTCTGCGTACGCTCGATTGGGTTCCTGCCTCATCAAAAAGAGCAGCCCACCAATGAGGACACTTTATCCAACTGACTCCACCCTTATAATCGACACTGAATACACATTCAATGTGCGCCATAGTGCAACTGAGTAACTTTGACGCTCGAACGTGATACCAAGTGGCAAGCAAATCTGTTAATCCACATTCGGTACACTTGGAATCCCTGGGATGGGGTAGGCGTGGCTGCGTACTTCAACTGAACGTGGTGGTGGTGGTGCGCTTTTGGTGAGATATTTTCATTTTGACACGATTGTGTGGGGGAAGTAGTGTTGGACGATAGAGGGTGTCCGTGCGACATTGCAAGGACACGCTATGGGTCAATGGATCGGGCGCTAACAATTTGTTACCGCGACGTGTCTGACTTCACAACTGCCTATGCTAGCTTCCTCAACGATAGCAAGAAAAGCAAATGTAGGTGCGTCATCACCAATCCAGGTTTTATCAGAGTGAAGAGCGTGGCTGAAAACTGGAGCGAACACAACCTAATTCAATGACGCAATGGTTTTATCGCGAGCTAGTGCTCCATTGCAAGCCCGCTGTGTTTGCAGACTGCCGCGCACGCGACGTCGCGTGCGTCGAAAAGACCGTCTCCCATCCACACCCCAGGTACCTTAATGGCAAAACTCTTATCCATTTCGCGGAGAGATCTCACAAATTTTTATTCACGCAGGAGATTTTGTGGGCGATTGAATAGCGCTGGACACTCCACCGTTATGTGGTTACAGTCAGCGAATTGCGCTGATGGCCGTTTCAGTTTTTGGCAACATTTTCAATTTCAATACTAGCAGGGTAGTTGACAAGGGAGCGGGCACGATTTCTCGTTCGGAAAAGAGGTAATGTATCACGCGAAAAATTTTTTGAAATTGCGCCGCACAAATGGAAGTCAGATCTGAGGTATGTAAGTAGCAAGTGCTATTAGTGTACAACGTAGACGAAATATTTGCTCGGGATTATTGTGAATTGGAGATGCGTTGAAATGGTACATGTCCTCTTTCAGAAAATGCATGAACGCATTCTCTTCTTGTCAAAGGTTAACTCTGCAAAGGGCTATATACTAAATCCTGAGCGGACTCACTGTCTCATAATAGCTCTCTCCTTCAATATTCGCTGGATGTCGTCTGCGGTGACAGATTCAAAGTATTCGTCGGCAATCGAAGATGGCGATTCGGAAGCCGTTGTCTTCTCGCTTCCCTTCTTCGGCTCTCCAGTTGTCGATGGTTCACTAGACTGATCACTAGACTGAGGACTGGATGTTGTAGACGATTGTGGACTGGATGTTGTCTCTACAGTTTCTACAGGAGTGCTGCTCACGAATCCTTGCGGTGAACCTGATCCTCTTGTCGATGAGATGTCACTACCAGCTCCAATGCGAGGACGATTTCTGAAAAAAAGAGTAGAACGCGGCGTCTCCCTGCACCATCAAACAAGTGTGAGCTTACTCGTAGGTTTCATCTACTGTACTGGTCTCCTTTCGCGTCTCGATAGCAATTGTCCTGAAATTTACGACGATAATTATTCTGCGAAATGTTCCATTTTTCTGACCCAAATGAACCAGATGTTGCCCACACTCACCATTTAGGAGGGTACTCCATATCAAGAATTCATGAGCGGGAAACCCATGTTGCGGTAGCGCCCCCATTAGTTGCCTAACTAGTGATTCTATAATACCGTAGATTTTCTATGATCAAAATCCGCCATCACTTTTTGCAAAGAGTTAAAAAGTTTTCCCATGTGAATTCAGATTCACTGCTCTACCTGGCATAAGCCAATTTCGTCCCGCGATAGGAAACCCCCACTCGTACCAAGTATGCAGATCCCCTTGTAGCATTGCGGCGCATTGTACCATTGCCCCCATGCTGAAAGTAAATTGGGGTTCACCTGAGGTGTCCCCAGCGGGGCGGCGGCTTTTACCGCAATACCTAACCCCGACGCTTTGTTTGGGCTTCCAAAGAGCAACATGCGGCAGATTACATCGTCTTCGTGGTGTGTGCTACAAAACGTTGCAGCAGGGATATGATGTCTCGAGTTCTCTCGAATAATAGTTTCCCTTTTCAATTCATAGTTGTTCGCTGGGTAGAGATGTTTATACACCTGTGGAGAGAGTCAAGGTAAGTGCTTGCTCAGTCGTAAGTTGTTAGGGTAACGTTAGTTCAGAAGCCAAGGCCTACCACGCCTGACCAATGGGCTTTGGCGGCGCTGCTCAGTATCTTCTCAAGACCAACTACAAATGCACCTTGACAGTTGCCGGTCGAGTATAGCCGACGACGAACCCATTAGTCCTGCGATAACGGCAATTGCTTTCGGATCTAGCGTTATGATACAGTGTTCCTGAAAACTCCATTACAAGGAAGTGCTGAGTTTGACGTGGCTGAGACGACGCTCAGTGCGCACGGTTCGCACCTTCCTGGCTATCCATCAGGACAGTGAGGCTTCGTTTGATTGACAACATTTTCGCTCACGCTCCATGAGAGCGACTTCTCGTTTGCAGGTTAGCTTAAGCAATGGTCTGCAAAGGATCGGTATTGGACTGTTCCATACAGTTTACTTTAAATCGCGATAAGCCTCGAAGGAGTTAAGTAACCGAGTTACAACTAAATCCTCGAGCTTCGCCCCCTTGTTCACCTGTTCCCAGTCTAGCAGCGTGTCATGCGGGAGAATTCGCCACTGTAGATCCTCTGTCTAGACGGACTCTTATCCGCCCTTATAGGCTGCTATACGGGTATAGCCGTAACGTCTGAATTGTAAGGAGCAGCAGGAGGGGTGATTTGAGCGCATCCAAGAGCAACCTTTACAACGCTTAATTAATATCATGACTCAGAAATGCGCACCATTGCTGGCAAACAGTTCAACCCAGGAGTGTCACAAGCCCTGTTCTTTGCAGAGATAATGACTGCTATTTGCCCCATTTCTACACCTGCCTTGCGTGCTCAGCAAACGATCTTTACGCCGGCGCAGGTCGAGGAAAGTCTCCCAAAAATACATCGCCTACACGTTCACCATACGATTTTTCTTCAGTTATACGTCCCACTGTACAGTCCACACCCCCGAGGAGAGTAGGCGTGGCCTGCGTACTTCATTTGTTAACGCTTAGGCGCCCGGGTTTTTCTGGGCTCTGTGATATTAGTTCCAGTTAGCTCTCATTTGTCATCATTGTGCGACAAGACATGATCACATTTGTCCCAAAAATAAGAAATTGGTCTCATCAAATGCGTCAGTCGCACCCTCAAATGATGTTGGATAGTAAGGCCTACCCTAATACAGTCACTCACACCTTATGTACAACAAGAACAGTTTTTGCTCCCGATTTAATCGTTGCTCTAGGACATGCAAATAGGGATCATTTTTTCTAATCATTCAAGACTAAATTCTTACAGGAGGTTGCACGCTTGTGATGTTTGTCAAGTCATCCGGTCCTCCACCACCAATAGCGTTCGCGCTCGAGGCACTCACAAACAATTTGTTGTGTAGGCGAGTCTGGTTTCTCGTTAAACACAATCTGGTACACTAAATCCTCGATAAAAGTCCCTGCCTGTGTGAGGTGAACGTGTCTGCTGTAGTGGCACGCAGCAGTAGCGTGCCACATTCCCCGATCGAAAAGTGCACGGAAACGGGCCTGGAAGGATAGCTGACAACCGTGTCACTATCCTCCAGCCCGTTTCCGTGCACTTACGTGCCGTCTAGATGCACCGCCGACGTTATGCTTAATGTGCAGCAGTCGAATCGATGCTAAGGCCCCGCAATGAAGCACGTACTCAGCGGTGGAGAACAAGAGCCGAGTCCTGGAGTTCTGTCGACCGACAGACTCCAATGAATCACTTCTTGTTCTCCACCGCTGTTCTGTTGTCGAAGTAGTTCGTTCGCTAGGATTTTGCGTGTGGTTAGCTGCGCTGACGCGCTGGTGCGAGTAGTGGTTGCCGCCCTTCCAGCCTGTTTCCCTTTCCGACGTGTACTTTTGACCATAGAAAATGTCACACCACTGTAGCTGTGGACGTATTCACCTCACACATGGCACCAGGATCTACGGAAGTGAGTGTGGAGTTTGTCTATTAATGTGAATATCGTGAACGTACCATTTGTTAGATCACGGTTCAAACTCTCTTGACGACGTTCTCGCGTTCGCGGTCAAGCCTTGAATACGTTTGTAGGTGAAACCGATAACCATCAAGATTGACGCCACTGCCATCACCACCCCAAACGCACACACGAGAAACACCGAGAAATCTTAAGCACTCGTGCGTTATGTTTTAGTACATGGAATGTGGATAACACAAGTGGGGCGGCAGAAGCTTTTGCCGTTGCCCATTCTCTTTCTGAGATGCGCCATGCATTCTCCTTCATTCATTGTATTAGCGTTTTGACTGCGATTTGACTCATACAGCTAATATGCGTGATAAGTTTTTGTTCTCCCAGACAAAACTGGTACCAAATTGCCGACGTCCGTGGGAAAAGTCAGCAGGCTCGATGGAAACAGATTAGAGCTTTCACCACTGATAGTGTGTGTCCACCCCATTTGTGGCACTCACTGTGTCACCTAGTCTCCCGTTGCTCATCGAGTCGCTCGTATCTCTTTCTCATCTTATCATTATAAAACTCCTCTCATCAACCGGAGTGAATAGAGCTAGTAGCGGAACAGCTGTATCATCAGACGGCCGTTACAAATGAATGTTGGGCGCAGCAGGGGGCAATAGGCGGGACGTTGCCTTCGCAGCAGCCGAGCCGAGCATGTGATACATCCTCTGTGCTTGCGTACTGGACTACCTTGCCCGAGGAAGGCGTCAGTACTATGCTTCCCTACCCCTCGAGGCGGTGCGGGTCGCTGGTTGAGGCTGGTAGACGCTGCTGGTCGCTAGATCGATATCTATTTTTTTTAGTCGCTGATGCTGCCGTCCCGAAACGGTAGTGGTCGCCGGTGGACGCTGCCGCAAAGTATGAACGCAGCCTTACATATGAACATGATATTATTCAGATAAATAAGAAGCAGCTGGTAGCCATATATGATATCGTACCGCGTTGATCCCTCGCATGAGCACTGAGCAGTGGTTTATCCGGATCGATGTTGGACACTGGAGCTAGCACAAAATGCTTAGGTCTCTCCGTTTGTGTTATGACAGTCATATTTGCTCTAAAATTTGGAGAAGTTAGTTTTCCGATAAAGAGTGCTCCACAAGCTTTAGTGTTGGTCTGAGATTGCTCCCAAAGCCTTTTTGATGCATGAGCTTGACATGCAAAATGAGCTTGCTAGTACTCTACAAGACTGAATTCCAGCAAAAATGTCAAGAGGTCATACCGTTCGAGTTCTATACCACTACGAAGAGCAGATCCAAGGTCGATATCATTCCTCGTGTTCGCATCATAGACGGTGACCTGATCGCACACGAACTTGTTGTCGTCCAAAGATTCTGAAAGTAAACCAGTTCTGAGACAAGCTCAGCGATTGCAAATTGAGGATAGTGACGTTTTGAATTCGTGGAGAACCCCCTAGGTAAGGACGTGTCATCCTCTCTGGACGAGTTCTTCGGACCTGCTCTCTTTATGCTAGCAAATCTATCCTGCCGCTTCTAGCTCACTAATCGTTTCATCGTATAATCCAACGCTAATGCCATCTAACGGTAAAAAAAGCCCGATTTAGAAGCTGAACTCGCGACAGAAAACAACCTTTGAGTTTTGGTGGGCGGGACAACAAGGAAGGCGTAGCAAGTCAATGAAGCCCTCCTAGAGCTCCGGCTCCGGGACAGCACAATTTTGAGATTTCTGAAGGCCTGCAGCAACACCATCAAATTGGCAGATTATTGAGATGAATAAGAAGCTGCTCGTAATATTAATTAGGGCTTTCTGCTAACCTCATAAATTCATGTTTGAGCAAATGGTTGGTTGAAAAAGGTCAAAATGCTCAACCTCTCCACAAAAAAAGCCGCAGATAAAAACCTCACTCAGTCTTACGGTGATACGAACGTTCTCCAGTTTTTCCCATTCTCCTGGACCGAAGTCAGGTGGAGCGGAAATTTTCGGCACAATAGGGAATGCTTGTGCTGAAATTGTTTTTCATTTATATACTTTTCCATTCAATTCCTTATTTCTTTTAATCTAGTACAGGTGCAAGTATCGTCCCGTCTGCAGTAAAGACTTTTGCCTATGACTCAGCGTTCTTATGAAAGCTTATTCAATTCAGCCAACGAAATAAGCATCTAGCAAGTATTTATCATTCAATTACTGTATGGTCACTGCTAGAATTCAGAGCACTTCTGGAACCGCTACTCGACACTTGAAACCTAAGACATGAAGTTTGGGTGTAACAGGATATCAAGTTATTGAAGGCACGGTCTGCTATAAGGAGCGTATCTAGTGGTTTGAACTGTGGAGGAAAAGTTGTATAGTGACTGGTCTGTGAAGAAAAAAATGCCTTAGAGAACGTTGGCAACGTCTTTGATAAGGCTCCTGCAATCTCAAACACTTGTGCGTGTAGACCAAAAGACCGCGTGGGGACGACTTCAGTCGTCTGATTCCTTATAAAGAACCCTATGACATCACAAGAGACAATGGAGCATTTATTTCGTGCTTCTTGCCCGGTGGCATCGCTTTCGGCTGGAGGGCGGACCTTGAAGGCGTAATCAGGAGAGCCGACTTCTTTACTTTACAACCTTCCACCGTAAAACCGTCAACGGTTGCTCACTGAGGACCGTTTTTACATCCACTCCGGATAAGTAGTTCGAAGTTGCGGTTTTTTCGAAGGTACTCACGAGGGAATCTTCTCAACTCTAACGGCATCTCATAGAGGCTTCTCGCGTTCACCATTTGATGAGCACCATAATCGACAAGGTAAACCTGCAAGTGGAATTGAAGAGGGAGAGTAATCAGTCCTTAGCGAGCCCCATATTCTTAAGGGCTCGTACAATTAGTATGTTGTCTTTAGCTTTAGCTGCAGCACTTTGGAAACAAGTGCTCACTTCAACATGAGCTGGATCTGGTCTATTCTCCACTACCACTCGAGTCCATGTCATTGTACTGTTATTGTATTGTAGTCGAACTATTGCTAGCGAGCCTGAAAGCACACAGGTGATACCGAGTAAGCTAGTTCTGCTCCTTAGAAACAGATCACCTAGCCAAGGCCGAGATGCACACTAGTTCGCTGCGAAAGAAGGGACGTGTCAAGCAGTATGAGTGTGCCACGTCGCGAAACCTGTTCTCCCACAGTTGCTGAAGCGAGTATGCGACAACAATTGGTAGAAAACGAGTGATACGAACAATATGATACAGACTTGCCCCATGCTCGCTTC